AGGGGGCCCTTATGGTAGTTTCCCTAAATTACTGTTCCCAAAATGGGGGAAGTTTAGATAGGGCCCCGTATTATAATGGGAACCCAAATATACGACCCCGTATTATAGGGAATTTAGACCAATCCCCATATGGCAGTTAGTAGTTTCCATAAACAGGGTGACCCCGATCCAAAATACTATCGTCCTTCTTTTGGAGACCCCAACTTGGAACCCCTAATTTTGGGAAACCCAATATGGGAATTATGAGGGAGTTGTAGGGAGGACTGACTGGTTTGCTGAGACACGCCCCTTTGAGCGAACGTTACTGCGATGGCATGCTATAAGGAAAGGAAAATACGAGACTATACTTACTGGTTCCTAGTAGGGAGTAGGGGCTTATATTACATGGAGATTCCCTTATTCCTTACTTGGAGCCAGTAAGTATAAATTGTGACCGGTTCGTGTCTTGAACGTTTTCCTGCCTAGCGCACACCGCTTGGACAACCTCTGTTTCAGAGCTGAGCCGTTCCGGGAACCCAGATATGGTACGGTGTTGACCGTAGGGTTTAAATGTGATGCATGGTCCACCAACTTGGACATCACATGTATATACTCACCCACCGGCGACGAATTCTTGAACATTTCCTGCTTCAGATGACTTTTGGTGCTCGAAGTGCTTCTGAGAATTCTGAATTCTAAGCACCTAGATAGAAGCATTCTCAGGACGCCTACGGGCCTACGTTGTGCAAACACCTCATGGGCCACAGTGAGATATGCGATATTTATGCAGTCTGATCAGACGGTTTGCTTCGCTAAGCATTTTTCTTGCATCTACGCGCCTCAATTGCTCCACCACTTGCAGAGTCTGCGATCTGGTGGCGGATTTCAGCCTCTCAGGCACAACGGACAAGTTCAGAAAACCCTCAACGCTAGACTCCTTTTCGGGGTAGAATAAGCTAGGCAACCCCTTCTTTGCCATATGCTACATACCATTCAGAACTCAAAGCAAGACAAGCACGCTGATCCCTTCGCTGTTCAGTTCATGAACCCCAAAACCCTGAAATCTTACATCTGATTTCAAGCCTTCAAACCCTGAACTCGCAAGCCCCCAAACCCTTACACCCCAAACCTGAAGGATCTCAGGCAGTTGCTGTTTAAACAGCTGCTGTTTGGCTTGGCTGTTGCCATTTTGGGCGCCATGTTGCTGCGGCTGCGCATTCTGCATCCAATATGGGTAGATCAGATCTTTGAGTTGGTGGTCCGCTCTAGGGGTCTGTGTTTTGGGAGTTCGGGTACGTCAGATGCAACCATTATCTCGTCTGGGCCTAGAGGGTCATGGGCTCTATTGGGGATTATAGAAAGAACTCCCAGCATTCCTTCGGGAGTAACGGGATCACAGGTTTCTTGGATCTGGTTACGTCCTTAAGGATAGTTCAGGGCCTTGCTTTCAGCTTTGCTACTATGGCCTATGCGACTTTCTCGTGCGGTCGAAGTCTGTCGAAGATGTCAAGTTTAAAAGCTTTCAAGTCTGGCATTGCAACGTGTCCGTGGTTGAAGTTGGTTTTGCAACAGACCATCGAAAGGCCTTCCCAAGCCAAGAGCAGCAGCGCAAGACTTAATTTGCCCAACTGCACCCAGAGCGGATCCTCAATGGCAGTGGCAAATTCCGCAATGGTCCGAGATGCTCCCCGTGCACAAAGTCCCGACAAATCCAAGATTCTTGAAATCTTTCTTGTCAGTGAAAGGACCCTGAGAAAAGAAACTCGGAATTCACAACATCAAGATCCTTGCTGGCAATGTTGAAGCTTCTCTGCCATAGCAGTGCTGCGTCAAACATTGGAACCCACCCTCCTCAATTACTCTACCTGATCCTGACCCCTGAACCATCGGAACCTTGGGCTTCCGTAAATGAGGCTTCTTGGACGAAAAGGTGCTTCCCTTCCAAGAAAGGAGCAGCAGAACTAGAACGTCCCGGCACCCTTTCCTTTCCAATGCGACTTCTGTTCTACTTTGCCGCCGTCCGGGAGTGTGAAACCTGTGCAAATGAATTAGGCTGAGTTACACCCTCTTTGGTCTAGAGGCATCCATATTCTGCCGCTTTCCACAGCAAACACAGCCCTACTCCACGCTTCATTTCAACAGGTTCACGAAATCTGCAAAGTTCACGCGACCGTCCTGCGAGTCATTGACTGAAAAGATCAGAGCCCGTATCTAAAGCTTTAGGGTTCTTGGGGTTTGGGAGAGTCAAGGGCGGGGTCTGTGACTGCAACCTGCAGATGCATCTGCTGGCACGCCTCTTTTGTCTGGCAAGTCACAATGCATTACTCTTCCGGACTGGCGCGTCTCGATTGAGAGGGCCTTCCTTGGAATGGTGGGTTCCTTTGTCTTTTCCATTTGGTTCTCCATTATAGGGTTGGGGTTGCGCGAAATCCTTTGATTAAACTGCGTCTTGCCTTCCAGTCTTTGAAAGGCCTCCAGTTGGCATCATGCCAACTCACGGACATCTTGCGAATGACTTGGTGGCACCCTCCACTTCGTGAAAATGTGAGGAAGTAGAATGTTTGTGATGCCCCAAACCCTAAACCCTAAGCACCAGATGTTGGTGAAAGCAGCGAGGCAGGTGAAAGCGCGGCTCATCATCCACTAGGCCGGTTGTGCCTGGCAACTTTCCGCTGTTCTACCATATTATACAATATGATACTATACTATACTATACCATACTATACTATACCATAGTATATTCTACAATACTATATAATACTGTAGTGCATGTTTGCTATACTATACCATAGAGGGAAAACAGGATTGGATCCCTTTCAATGGAGTGCTGGACCTCCCAATTCCCATGATAAGAGCCCATGTACTTAGCATTTTGGGGTTAAGGGGCTACCATTATGGGCACTTGGGCCGTTCAGTGTTTCTTAGAACATTCTGGTGTAGAGTTAAAGTCTTATCTGGAGGTGCCATGCACGCACAAGATGAAGTGTTGTAGCATCTCGATATTATCCTTCAGAAAGCATTTCTGCCAGCAAAGTCTTTTTGCTCGCTCGCAGTTTAGGATCTTGTCAGGTGTTTCCGAAAATTAGGTCCCGCTTGCAAAGCTTCAAAATACTAAGATGCTGGCATCCGAAGGAGGCCCCAAAAAAGGACCCGAACTTTTGGAAACTCCCTATTCTCTCCGCAAGCATCCGCGAGCGGGCACGGCAGCATCACTTTTTCTGCCTGACCAGATGGACACCTGACGTTGTGGCACTACGCTGATACTATACCATACAAATGCTATACTGTACGGTTACTATACTTTATTATATCGACGATGATATACCGTACTGTGCGTAATGCACTTGACTATATACCTTACTATACTATAATGCACTTCACTATACTGCTACCCTGTTTTCCTATGGACCATACTATACTGTACTGTACTATGCTACTATGCTATACTACTATACCATACTATACTATACTCTACTATATTTTACTGTACTGTGACTATACTATGCTATACTATACCTTACTAGACCCTACTATACGAATAATAGTATACTGGTATTTACTACTCTCTTTGCAAGAAATGGCAAGCTGAGCACAAGACCAAAGTCATGTTTCAACCTTAACTGGTTTTAGGGTTTAGGGATTAGGGTTCAAGTCATGTTTCAACCTGAACTCAAGTCGCTGCTTTGGGGTCATGTTGGGGTTATATGGGGATAATGGAAAAGAAAATAGAAACCATAGGGATTATAGGGGTTCTATAGTGGGTTATCAGCTCCACAGCATATCTCATGCTCAGAATATGGGTAGTTCCCCTAATTTTGTGCCGTAAAAGAATCTGTAGCCAAAAGTTTTGAGAACAACCCATATACTACAGTGAAATACAACCACGGTATAGTAAGCACAGTATCATATACTACAGTCTAGTATATCGTATCGTGGCCCCGGCGTTATTAGTATAGCATGATATAACCCAATATGATATGACGTAGAGTTAGCATCGTCTGGTGTAGTATTGGCCTCGTAAAGTATCGCATGAGTACTGCAACCCCCCTTATTTGCTTGCAAGCCGCAGGTTCATGCGCAGGATCAGCGCATGTGTGCTGTCCTTGGCTCTCACCACTCTTCTGAGGTGGCTTTCTGCACTGCAGCAAGGAGATGTGTAGTTTCCCTGATTGCTACGTCAGTTGCTGCAGATTGTGATTGTAGGCTTGCCACCAGAAAGTCGCTGCTGACGCGGAGGGCATTGTTGTACCTTCCAAAATCTAGTTTCCAAGTCGTAAGGCAGCTGGGAAACGTGCTCAAACATCACATGCAAAGCATCTACCCTCAGACTGTGCACGTTGAGCGTCTCTGATCTGCATGGCTCGCGTGAAGAATCTTCCTGTTGCAAGCATCGACATTGCTCTCAAAGTTCTGGGCCATCGTTGATGTTTTGGAAACTACTATAGTATATAGGGGTTATTAGGGATAATGGAAAAGAAAATGGAAACTACTATAGTATATAGGTGGTTCTCATATTACATCTGCAGTGTGCGGGTACAACAGAAACCTTCAATTGGAGATCACACATTTTGAGTTCGACAAGCTGGCACCTTCCCTCAGACCCGATTCCTTCCATACATTTCTGCAAGTGTCAATAATTCGCAATACCATGACACGTAACCCACCACTGCTCATCGAACTTGAGGCTCCTACATGATAACCTCGTATAGCACAAACAACTTTCAGAAGTTAATTTCCATACACATCATGCGTAACCATAATCTTGAGAACAAATCTGATCCCTGAACCCTAAGCCCACAAACCCTCAACCCCAAGCCTCAAACCCAAAAAAGTGCCGTAAACCCAAGCCTCGAACCTTACAGCTTACGTCCGTAATACTGAACCCTAAACCCCATATACGTGTCTGTATGCATGTACTCTATAAACCCCGAACACTTGCCCTTTAAGCTACAGTCAACCTTTCCCGTGTAGTTAATGCACATGGCTTCCTATTGTGGAGCACGTCAAGGACTACACTAAATCTACTCAAAAAGAATTCCTGTGTCCACCCTCAATGGTCCCTGGGTAACCCTAATATTGACAGCAGCTAATTTGAGTATCCTTTGCGAGTCGATCTTCGCATCCAGCTGGCGTTGCCCTATGAGCTTGGCCACCTTCAGCGCTGCGACTTTCTCAGAAAAGCTGCCCGCTTTCGAAGAGGATTCTATCAGTAATGTCATGTGGCAGCATGTACCAGACATGTTGGGGATTGTACGGATGTGGAGGGGCGCGGGGGGGATCCTAAGAATGAGGATCCGATGCATTGGGCAGGGGCTGATGACCAGTCCAAGTTGACTTGGGCCCCCACCTCCCGCTGCATCGACTCAACATCCGTGTTGAAGGCTTCCGCCATTCGATGAAGAGAGACGGACAGAAAGGGGGCGAAGTACTGGACGATGCCTACAAGTTCCGCAGCTTCGGATAAGGTCTCTGAGTTGAAGCATCTGCATGTAGGGACCCAAAAGAGCACACAAGCAAAAGGATGCCTAAACATCTTTCTGTGGGTCTCTCCATCCTTGTATAGGGCATCCTTATGATTGTGCCTTTTGGGACCCATGCATGAGCTCTTTGCTAGAGGAGGGCGCCTTTGCTCCGAATTTGTTCACAAAGGTTAGCCTCCAGCAAATGCTTGGAGAATGCTGACGACACCTATAGGGGATTGAAGCTTCAGGGTTTCCCAACTTGAGACTAGTTGTAATGGGCCCAAGTAGACAAAAGCATCAAGGAGTAATTATGTGGCCTCATATTATGAGAAACTTTCATAGCGATATCTTGTCCTGGCACTGAGCAGCCCACCACTTGGCCACTAAGGTGCATGTCCAAGGACAGCGGCTCCTGGCAAACAATGGCATGGGTCTTTCCAAAACGGGGATCCCGTGCTGTGCTTCAAAATCACACCTAGATTATCCCAAATCACCAGCATGCTGTCCACAAAGTTCTGTCCTTCAAGCGCTCCAGTGACGCCAAGCAAGCTGCATACCTCCAATTGAACTCAAGATCTCAGGTGGCAACCCCATGAGACAAAGCCCCAAACTTTGGAGCAGGCTCACCTTGTCAGCCCACACGTCAAAGCCAGAAAAACCTTAAACCCTGCCTCCTGAACATTGTAGGGTTCCGGGCTTAACTCTAACCCCAACAACACAAGACCCCGAATCGCAAAAGCCTGCAGCTGCAGAAGTCGATTGCCAAATCACGAAGTTGCCTCAGGTCTGGTTTCTCGTGTATACTCAGTGTATACAGAGAACATAGTGGCAAACATTCCTGACCTCCCAAATATCCAGAAAAATAGCCTACATACCCACAGTGTTGGGATTAAGGGCTGTTTGGGGAGGCTCCCGGTGGACATGGGGCTTTTGTGGCAGGAACTGCTCATGCAAGGGTGACAAAGCCTTTATCATGTTGACCCTTCTCGCCCTATTGGGGATACTCAACTTCCCACTATATGCACCCTCGCGGCTCAAACGAAAGGGACCTGTAGCTTTGACCTACGCTCAGAAGCTGTTATCTATATAGCAACTTTCTCTATAGCAACTTTCTCCAAACTCTAAGTCCTGAAGGCCAAATCCTACCTGGGTACATACGCACATCACAAGTCAGCAAGTACCAGCTGCCTGGGAGCTTACCCAAGATCCGAAATCCTAACCCCTGAAACCCCGAGGGCCCAGCGGAGTCATGTCCAGGCACTCCCTAAAGGTTGGCGAGTCTAAGAGCTTGCTCTGCACCTGTTGGGGTTAGGGTTTAGGGGTTTGGGGATTTGGGGATTTGGGGTTGTGTGGTTTAGCTTCGAGGTTAGAGGGTTCAGGGGTTTGGGGGGGTGAGGTTTAGGGGCTTTGTGATTGTGTTAGAATTTGGGTCGAGGCTTTGGGCTTTGTTTTTGCAAACCCCATCGGAGCTCCAAAACAACTGGTGGTTTCCAATAACGAATACAGCACAAGTAGGAGCGGTAGAAGTACCAGTGGCAGATTCGAATGAGTAGGGCTTTAGCAGGAGCAGCAAGCTGACCCTGCAGGAGCATATCACTTTTGGCTCACTTCTCCATGGGACTCTAAGTTGTGTAACTCGTTTGCCTTGGTAACCCTGCACAAGGCCTTGCCTAGCGGAGGTGCCCTGTAAAACATCTGTTGCTGTTGCGGCTTCATCGGGATAATACAGGCCCTGATGAGCAATCGCAAAATTTATGTTAAGGAATTTAAGTTGAGCTACTATACTAAGGAAACCGTGTTATGTACCATATACCCATATTATGGCAACTTAAACCCTATATCCTATACACCCATATTTAAGTTCTTTAAGAGCAACCCAAAAATGAGGGAATATAATCCAGATATAACCCCTATAGAACATATTCCCTCAGCCCCTGCAAACCCTAAACCCCAAACCCTAAACCCTAAACCCTAAACCCTAAACCCTTAAATTTAAACAATCAATTCAGCAACCCAGATTATGGGGCTTTATGATAGCAGCCTCGGCTCTGTCCAGGGAGCCCAGCCCGCAGAGCACTCCGTACAAGGCCACCTGAAGACTGGGACAGACTAAAGGGAGCTGAACCCCAGCGAATAAGGGGAGATATATACATATACATATATACATATACATGTATATGTATATATATATATGTTGTAGGGTTTATATAGGGATTGTAGAGGGATTATATAATCTACTTAGAAAGGGATTTTATGGGGATTATAGAGGGATGGGTGTACGTAGGGTTCTGGATGTTGTGTTTGGGGCTTAGAGTTTGCCGTTTGGCGCTTAAGGAATGAAAGTATATAGGGCTTAGGGCCTGGTTCGGGGTTGCCCCTTGACGTTCCGCGAATGAAGGCAAGACGCCGAGGAATCCTAAGGTGGTAGGTTGTCAGCACTCAAAAGGTGGCGTGTTGGGCATTCCAAGCATTCTGGAACGTCTTCCAAAGGAAACCTGACAAAGGATCATGCCAATCTCTGACACTGAAGTGCCTGGCTGACTACATGAGTGCCTGAAACCCTGAACCCTAGAGCCTCGAACCCCAAACACTGAACCCCAAAGCAAAAAAAATCTCAAGTGCAAGGCCCTAAACATAAAACCCTAAACCCCAAGTGGGAGTTGCTCAAAACAGTCCTCATACTTCCTACATACCCCATAGGGCCCCTGAAAGCTCCCAATTTTCAGAAACTCACAGGTAATCTTATGAAAGGGGCAAAATCCCTACGCCTTGTACCTATATGAACCCTTATGGCCCCTAAAACTCCTATGTAAATGTTATAGGAACCTAACACCCTACAGCCTAAACCCGAAAACCCCAAACCTCAAACCCTAAACCCTAAAAACCTAAACCCTAGAAACCCTAAACCCTAAACCTCAAACTCTGAAACCTGAACCTCAAAAACCCAAACCCTAAACCTCAAACCCTAAACGCTAAAAACCTAAGAACCACCCTACAGCCCAGGTGAGCTATAGTCTAAACTCCTAGTATCCCTCTTAGTAACCGCTATAGTAGTCCCCTATACAATCCCCTATATAACCCCCCTTTAAGGAGTTTAGACCCTAAACCCTAAACCCTAAACCCTAGACTATAGCTCAGGTCAGCTTATGAAGATGAAACTTAGGCCAAGGCATCCTGGGGGCTCAGAATGTCCGAGAAGGAGCTGCCAAGATCCTCGCCAGTTTCTGCGTAGGATCTAGGGGTTAAGATTCAGGGTTTGGGGCTGTTTAAGGTTTAGGATTTAGGGTTTAGGGTGTTTAAGGTTTAGGATTTAGGGTTAAGGGCTTTTTAAGATTTGGGATTTAGGGTTCAGGGTTTTTTGAGTTTAGGATTTAGGATGGTTTTTGGTTCAGGGCTTGGGGTGTAGGGTTTGAGATTTGGGTCTTGTGTTTGGTGTTTCACGGGGTTGGGGGTTTTGGTGATTGTGCAGGCAAATATGGCGACATGCAAGGTGCGGGCAAACCCTTCTTCTAGAGTGCCTGTACTTCTTCACCACGCGTACCGGAGGGTTATCTCATTTTCGGGGCTGTGGAGATGCTGATGTTGTTGGAGCCCCCGACGTACGCTGTTGATGAGGAGTTGCATCACTACGCAAACCGTGGATTTTGTTAGTGTGACACATGTGCAGGGTCATGCAAGATGCTGTCAAATCAACCGCCCAGCGTGGGAAACCTCAAGTCTATCGTTTACTTCGTGTCCAACGTCCTGCAGATTCCAACAGGTTTCTGGCTTTGCTTGATGTGCTACATGCACCCTTGCTCTGACTGACGGTGGTCCTGCGGCTTGACCTGCGAGAAGCTTGTCGCAGCATCTTTGTACTTGCCAGTAGTCATGTTATACCTGAGTTGCAAGGACTTGTGGTCGCCGCATGTTGCAACTGTGCTTTGTCACCAGGCGCGCTGCAAGCCATACGAGGCAAAGATGCGAGACTGGCTGGCTTCGTCCTGCCAAGAATTGAACCACTGAAGTTCAAGCCTTTTTGCTCTCCCTGCACATATCAGCAGTGCAGCGTTACAGATGCCTGACCTTGAACGGTGTATGGTGAGCTTTGCTGGTGAAGTTCTGAATGTCAGAGTATTGGCGCCTGGGATGTCTGAGAAGCGAACAAGGCAGCGGAGCGCTGATAAGGCTCAGGTTCGGACTGTAAGGCCCGCAATCTGATGATGGTCATACAGGTGGCAAATACTGCCTCAATGACCAACACTCAGGCCACAACTGCATGAAAAGCCTTTCGACTACAGCATATCACAGCCTTCGCATGGTTCAGAGCTGCATGTTGTAGCAAGGTTTGCTTCCGCAAGCATGGCTCTTCTTGAGAAACTCTTCAGCGCTCAAGGCCATGGAAGCAGGCCTGTGGCTCTGTGCAGAACTCACGGCTCCTCGCCAAGTACTTCTCGGCCTGCACCGGCATGGACTTTGGGCTGTTGCGCACGAGTGAATTCCCGAAATGTCCCTGAACACTCCGCTGTTAAAACAACGGGTCCCTTGAAGCAGCAGTACGGTTCTGCAGCACGCTCCAACTTGCTGGTTGTTAGCAGGGAGGGAAGGAGTGCAAAACACAAATGGAAAGTACCATATTGGGGATCATGTAGGAAATACGTTAGGGATCCATTTGTTCAGTCCACAAAAGCAACCAGCAAAGTCAACCCTAAACCCTATACATCCCCATAAACCCCTTGTTTCCATTTCGTGCTCCATTTGATTGTCCATTGGACCTGCCAGTCCCTAGACCCTAAACCTTAAGTTCTTTATTGGGCCACATCCCTACGTAAACCCATATAGGCCCTACAACCCCCATATAACCCCATATGATCCCTGTACCCTACACCTAAACCCCTAAACCCCCAAACCTCCCATCCCAAAGGACCAGGGCCCTGGCTGTCGGGTAGTCGCCCTGTTCGAGACAAAGGTTGGTAAGCTGATGGTAGCACCTTGGTAGAAGTATATAATAGTTTCCATTTTGTTTCCCAATATGACCCAATATATCCCCTATATAACCCCATTATAATCCTTTTAGGGTTTACGGCTTAATAGGCTGCGGAGGGCAGTCAGCTACACAGAGGTTATACAGGTATATAAGTGTGTGTATATATATATGTATATGTGTGGGTATATAGAGGGATTATTATGTACATGTGGATACAAGGATTTCTGCGGGTATACATGAACATAAGGATATATCAGGCGTATATATTTACATTTAGAGGCTACACATCAGAGATCCCTGCTGTCGGATGTTCTCCTTCATTTGAGACGCTTTGGCCTCAACAAGATTTGGTGCTGGAAGGCTGCCAGCAGGTGGAAGCTTGTCAAAATCATGGTATATCATGGTCTATTTTTGGGGTCCCTACCAAAATTATACAGCCCCCAGTATTTGTGGTTGCTTGCCCAAAAAAAGAAACAGAATATTCACAACCCCCCTGGTCGCTTGCAGTCACTCGCCTGATTTAGGTCCTGCTCGTACAGGTCCTGAAATGGTCAGTGTGGGGGGCCAAGAGACCAAGCGGCGTGAACTGCTTGCACAGGCCTTGAGTATTCCGTTTTGCTTTTGCGTAGCCTCAACCTGCCATGTGCTGGGATACCAGGAGCACGTACTATGATCATGGTAAGTCAGCCAGCTGTGCCCAAACTTGGTCGTAAGCTGGCAGCGTCTCGCTCCCTTCCAGTAGCTCCTTCACAGTAAAACCAGAAAGGATCTCAAAAAAAGCGTGACAGCAAAGACATAGCAATGGTATCGCGGATGTGTTTCCCACAAGGAAGCGTGTGTTGCCGGTTTTGCCAGGGGTCATAACAGAACAGTCCTTCAGCATTGAACCGCTGTCCAAAATTGGCAACGTGAACGAGAACTCGGTTCTGGTATAGAAGCAAAACCAAGCCTCAAAGTAGAAACCTAGGCCACGGATATAGTGGCAGCATGCGCAGAACTAGCTTGGGATCGTTGGGAGCCGTAATGCAACCGGCGACAATAGGTATCAACCACTGTCCTACTCCACAAGCTAAAAAGATGAAACACCTACATCTGCGGATAAACGCTGATTTTCATGACTTTGTCTGGTGCTTGAAGTTACGACAATTTTGCTGTCTGCATGTACATGTAAGGATGTCAGGGCGGGTATACGGGGGCTACAGTGGATTATCAGCAGGATTTCCAGATTTCAGTGTCAACACCGCGCTCGCCAGTGAGTCCTTCAGCCAGTTATACACCTCTGTATACCTCATGGTGCAGCCCATGCACGTGCTGCTTCTTCTGCGACCGCGGCATGTCACTGAGTGGCCGACCCTTTGCAGTTTGTTGTGCGCTTAAGCAGATCTAGGCATAGCCTTGGGGCCACTGGCAGGTGTGGTAACTTCCAATGACACAACACAGCAGGTGGCAAGCATGGATTTGTTAGCTTTTGTCCTTCCCAGCCGCCATCCTGAGGTCTTAGCTTCAGCGCATCGATCTTCAGGTTCACTTTCGGTGTCTCACACGGCAAGAGCTACGACTGGGACGTGGACAAATGTAGCTTGGAGTTTACGCATGCTCGCTTGGCCTGATTTGCAATGAACTGCAGCCGCTGAATGGCACCATGCGTCCCATACCTGATTCGAAAGGCTTGCAGCTTGCAGACTTTTGCTAGAGCCGAGAACCTGATACGATAGGCCCCCAAAATTGTGCCAAAATTGTAGTCCCCTCTGGGATCCCAGTTATACCGCGGCCCCTTATCCATTGGGTACCCAAAGAGGAGCCACAATTTTTCGGAAACCTGCCATATGCACATCAAAGCTTGGATGTCCGTTTTTGCATCCGCTGCAGCTTCCGACATCTATGCTCAAGGCTCAAGCTGAGTAGCAGGCTGACCACTGTATGAGTCGAGATCCTCAGACAGTAGAGATGCCTCGGAGGCCAGCAACACTTCACCAAGGAGCTGGAAGCTGATTCATGTGGGTAGTTCCCAAAATTAGGGTCCCATTTGGGTACCCCTAAATATTAGGTGCCGTAATATAACCTATGACCGAAAGGGGCCCATAATTTTGAGAACAGCCCATGTTTCACTGTAAGCACGCACAGGTTGTTCAAATGCTCACTACACCCAATTTGCCCAACTGCATAGCTGTTCCTCTTGGTTGTGCGAACAGTGATGCTGCTTGAAAGAGCTGTGAGCACTGTAAGGCTTGCACCGCCATCGCAGGGGAGAGCCGGCTAACTTCAGTTTACACTTTGCATGCTAGCGCGCCTGGGTCTGAGCGTAGTCTGGAAGATGAGATACATGCTGGTAAGTTCTGTCTTCCGTCCTGAAGCAACCAAGCACGCCTGACATTCCTCATGCGACTGCCCTTGGATCAATGCTATGGATTGTTTCTCTCCTGGAGCCAACTGCCAGCCGATTTTCTTGGTTTTCTGGAAGGACGGAAGGACAAGCTTGCATCAACAGAATCACAAACCCTCAAAACTGCAGCGAACAGCAAGCGAGAGACTTCCAACAAATTGTGCCAGGAAGGCTTTTTGGGTGATACGAACTGCGAGGTCGCCAGGCCTTGGTCCCATGGCAGGACCATCACGGATTTGAAGTTTGGGATTTAGGATGTTGAGGGTGTAGGTTTTCAGATGGCACGAGGACGCCCCTGGGCATCGCACTGGTTGTCCTTGTGGCTGTGGTTGCCTGCACCTTTGAAGATGATCCTCGCTGCACAACAAGATTGCAAATTCTCGGCATAAGTGTGCGAGCCGCAGTATAATGTACCCGATAACCGCAGATGCACACCCCTAAAGCCTAAACCCTAAACCACTACAATGGCCCCACAACAAAGCGGAATCCTCATCCCCGCTTGCCATCCAGGTTTGATGGGAAGCGTCACTGGCTTCTTCTCCTGGAAGACCACGGTTTGACTAAACGCTGGAACCAAAACCTTAAACCCCACAAACCCCCATATACCAAGAAACACCGCCATATACCTCTCTGTATGGAATATACATGCTCGCCCCTGACTAGCCATATGCCCCTTATTAAAACCCAATCCCAGTCCCAGCTGGCAGCCTGCTATAGAATCCGTATAAAACCTTGTAACCCTTATGCATAACTCTATATTGTGATCCCTACATATTCCCTGTTCAATCCCTATACAAACCCTCAACCCTGAACCCTGAAACTCCATATCAGCTACAATCAATATTACCCAGAAAATTAGTGGACATAGTTTCCTTATGTGGGAATATATCCAGACTACGCTAATCTACCAGAGGCACCCCAATGTCCAGTGCTAAAGGTCCCTTAAGAAGGCGTAACGCGAATATTAAACAGTAAACCCTAAATTCTAACCCCTAAACCCTACATCCTAAACCCTAAAACCCTAAATCCTAAACCGGACAACCCTAAATCCTAAACCCTA